AGTCACATGCCGCCCGGGGAGCACCCTCCCCCCCTATGCTACACCTCTAGTCTTATGATTTGGCTACCCATAAAGACAGTGGACGGTCAGATCGCTCTTTGAGACAAGCTCAAAAAGGTTTGTTAATGGTCAACTCAACTTCAAGTTCAAGTTCAAGTGGGACTGGAACAGTAGGATAAATCCCCGTAAATGTTCCTTCCGTGGCGCGTCGTTGATCCAGGGTATTATTCGTCCGTGATAACTGGAATCCAGAAGAGTCAGATCAGCCCGCGCAAATCACACCACGGTCAAACAATTAATACCCACGCTACCTGCATTGGCAGTCCCCGCCGCACCGGTCATGTAAAATAAATAAGAGAAGTAGGAAAGTAATAAGAGCGTCAAGAAATAAAGGAATAGATTTAATAATTCAATAAGGCGAATAAGCTAGGACGTGAAGGGGAATGTTAAGAATTGAAGGCCAAGAGCGCTGAGTCAGTGTTCGAACTCTTTCACTGTTGGTCCCAATACCACGTTCTCGGGCACTGCATTCCAAGAACCCACCACTCGGCGAAATAAACGAAAGTCCGCCGGGACTCCATCCGATCGACGTTTGTGTAGCTTCATCGAGTGACCTCGGCGCGATGGAAGCCGGCCCGGTTGGAAAAGCGTAGATAAATCGGTTCCGATTTTACCGGTAAGTATGCGATAGGTCAAGATCAGGTTTCCTCGATGTTGACGATAGTGCATCGAGAACATTCCCAGCGCAAGTAGTCTTTCTGGGTAAGAATGGTTCCGTAGTCCATGAACCATTTTGGTTCCAACTCTCAACCATCTCTCCATTGTAATCCTATCCCTGACTAAGCCAGATGGACAAGCCTGGATGCAATATTCCAAGTGTGACCTGACAAATGCTGAGAATAACCTAATAAACATAGCGCCCGTGATGGTCCCGAATGCCCTGCGGATCAACCACAACATTCTGAAACCCTTGCATGTAGCTTTCCTACAGTTCCCACTGGATTTAAGTCCTGAAGACAACATGACCCCTGGTTCTACCAATTGGGAAACACGGTGTAGTTTATAACCGCCAAGCAGATAACGCGTTTGGGGGCCATTTGGCCCTATTCGTAAGATGGAACACTGCATAATTTATGAGCAACTGCCATATAGCAGCCTAGTCCCAAAGTTTATCGAGCGCCCATTGCAGAATCTGGGGTCCATCGAAGTTAGACACTAGGTGCCAAAACTTTAGGCCATCTGCAAACATGAGAGATGGTATCTCCAGCAGTTCGGGTAATTCATTGATATACAAAGAAAATAACAACGGGCCAAGCACCGAACCCTGATCACGATGCAGTTATTTGCCGCTAACTTTAAAGCATGCGTCATAAGACAACTTAGCAGCACCGCCATGGAGAGTGCGTTTTACAGCGTGCTTTCCATGAAGCTCCTCATGAGTATTAGTAAAGGACGATTTGGATTTCTCATGAGAGGCAGAAGCAGTAGCAAGGAATTCGTCCAGCCGTCTAGCCTCTCGCGAATAGTGTTTGCACTGCGTTTGAGCTCGCCAACATTTGACATCACACGACGCATACCTGATGACGCATGTGGGACACGATAACCAACACCGGCACGCTTGTCAACTACATGTCTTTGGTGTTATTGCGATTCTACAAGATAGTGAAACTGAGGATGCTCGTGGCTTACAACACTCACTACCAACGTAGAACGGAATGTCCCGGAAGTTTGCGGCTGACAATACAGTTATCAACGGGCTAGATCAGATCGTCAAACATGTAAACAACGCAGGACAGACAAGTATTGAATCGCAACCATAACACCACACTGAGAAGCCAACATTGGAAATAGGCCACATAGTACAGTCAGTTGAAATAGTGATGGAACTTTTCAATCCCGCGTGTGTTACAGTCCGGGAGCACTCTACCGAGTCTCGTGCTTTGAGCTACTTCATTAACCATACACAAAACTCGAACTCAGGATGCATTGCAGCAACTACATTACATGATACAACCATAACTACAGCGTAACATAACTGATATACATGGAAATGCAGATCTTAAGGTGATTCCACCGATAAGCTTTCGTAGTTTGATTCTTTTCACGTGTGACTTGTTGAGTATTTGATTCTCAAGCAGGTTAGCTCACAATCATGTGATAAGTGGAACCGAATCATATTGCTGAATCACATTACTCGCTACTCGCTAGGCAATCTCTCCGACCACAGGTTCAGCTCGAGATTTGGAATTTGCCAGAAAGTGACGGAAGCATCAATGGAGAGTATTCGGGAGCTACAACGTAAGTAAACATAGGTAACATATGAATTGTTGAACCGGCACCTAAACACTATGTGACTACGCTAATGAGTTGTATATCAAATTACAAAATATTTAGCATCTCCGTAGGTAACTATGCTAATTAGCTTCAATAAATATGGCTGAAGTTGAGACTGTTAAGACCACGAGCTACAAATGAAGGGCACCAATAGGAACTCAGTTCTTTTCGCCTTTGTAATGTTAGAATATAGTAGGGTCTAGAGGGTTGTGGTGTTTATCACGCAGAACAACAACTTATGTGTTACATACTGCCCCACCGATTACACTCTACCATCCCTTTCGAACTTGTATTGCACTTGTCAATTCGACAGAGTAATAACTGTTATGATGACGAGCATTGCTGGCGGTGGCTTGGAACATCAGCTGGTAACCTCCAAGCCCCGTTGATAGTCCTATCAACGCTTTTCTAAAGAACACAACCACTTACGAAACCGATCATGTTGTGTAGTGTCATCCACGGTTAACGCCTAACATTTGTCTCTTTCAGAAAGTCTTTCGTTCAATTACAACAAGCTTCACCTTAAGCTACTCGCAGTCCACGCTAAGCATGTGTGCCTTAACAAATTCACATAACCAGGCTTCAAATAAATTCACAATGATTTGTGCGCTTGGTAGCGATATCTCGGTCTCTGATCATCCAGATGCTTTATTGTCTGATCAGCTCCTGCTCTGCTTTGGTTACGGAACAATGACTAGTGAAGGAAGTTGGAGCTGTATTGTTTCTGGTGCGTACTAGTTAGTGTATCAACGCCTACCTGGTCGTGTGTGGCCTAACTAGAGCACCGGTTTTCATTGAAAGAAACGACGTTGTTCGGAAGAGCCTAGATATCATTGGGACTCAGCGACTAGGTTGATAATCTGTAGGCTTTTAGGCTGGCGGCGACAGTGTTCCTCTGCCTTTGCCGTACCTATGGATGACGGAGAAAAGTCATCATCTTGAATCCTGCCACACTGATGAAACTAGTCAGATATATTTTAACAGGGTACCGTGATCAAAACACATGGCAGATGGCTTGGAGAAACCCGGTAATGAGAGTAATGTAAACGTAGTGTAGTTTCGAAATTCAATCCGACCCCAACAATCTGGTTGTCTTGCCTATTCTCGAAGTGGACCGCTGACTTCAACAATAACACGGTTAACGATACACTCACAGGTGGGTACGTAAACTTAAACTAGACAAATTAACTTTGAAGTGAAGAACGGTTATTCACATCCATTGCCCTACATTCCAAGTGGAAGTATTAACGGTGATATCCCTTCCCGACAACCTGCTTTCGCTGTTGTTTACGAAATCAGCGCTACTAATAATGACAACACTTTAAACTGATACCACTACTTCAGACAATGTTCTAGTGCGTAGAATGACCAAGAATGACTTCAAAGCGGTACCCTCTATCCACAGATGTAAGTCCAAAAGTGGGTCTTGTTTGGTCTAGTTTTTGTAACCGACAGGAACCCAAACAACACATTGTTTATGTATGGAACATTTACGCTGGTCACATCTAAAGAACTTACGCTTTGACTTTTCGGATCTATTAACTTGGCCATGATTTTTCTCGAACTGTGAATTCGCGGAATTGTCACTATACACACGGACGCAGATAGAATGACTAACTGCGTCCACAAAATTAGCTGCAAGGATTGTGCGCACGTGTACAGAAGTTGAACCGCTAGAGAACTGCGCACGATGTTATCGGAACAAATGACGCGCGTGTCATGGTCACTGAAGAATGAGCTTGAATACAGGATTCTGTCAGGCGATTCGGCAGTGGTAATACACGCGTAAGACATGGGGTATGAAATTGACTTGCATGATGTCGAGATCATTAGGAGGGGGGTGGTGACCAACATTCCAAAGGCCTACTGTTGAGGCGTTAGAAATTACCATTGCTAACAGAATAGATGGGTCAGTTATGGATTGTGGTGTGTGCTATCATAACCCGGCGACTCTGAGGAGCTTCGGCGAACGAATCTGGAACAGATAGCGAGCATCAAATCAACCCTACACCCAACACTGGCAGGAACTCACGTGTGACGATATCGTACAGCGAAACCTCTGGGACCTTATCATCCCTAATGTCTCACTTGATACTTTGGCCTGTGGTGGGCTTACCATCATGTTTATATCTCGGTTGTCGCATCATACCAGGTAGCCATACTTGCTACGTCAATCACTCGATGGTTCAATTGACGTTAGTGTAAAAAGGTAGCCCCTCAATGACACCAGCCAGTTGTTCTTAAACCCTTCTGAAATCATCAGTTATTGATTGGTTCTAGGCATATTTTAAAATGTTTGTAATGACCTGTTATTAAACTGCTGCCTCCAATTCAGGCAAGATTCTAGGACTCGGAATGACCAAGGTTGACTTCAAGCAGATGCCCTCTGCCCACATGGATTGCACACCTCTCCACATGCAAGCCCTGGATTGTTATAATCCGTTCAAATTTTCAGCTTGAGAGAGAAATCCAAACATTTCGCTGTTTATGTTTAAATCGTTCACGATAGCCCTTGCTAAAGAGTAAGGGCTGCGAAATCTCCAGGTCTATCATGTTGGCCATAGGTTACCTTCTCACAGACTGCCGATCTTTCTACTGGGACCTCCCGCAAATGTCGGGACATCCAAGAAATCGGTTACATCGATTAATTTCAGCGGCACTAAGTCGATAAAGCAAAGATAGCTGTTATAATAGGTATATGCCATTACGTGAAATGTAGGTTTACGCAATAGGCTCAGTAATATGTTCGAATAAGTATGGTATCTCCTCTTGTAATCTAACATGAGACCAGTTGTGTGTATAATATGATGTAGATCGGGAGAGGAGGAAGCGACATGCTCCTGAAGACATTGGAAAGGAAAACTTTTGTAAACGGTTACAACGTTCTAAGAGGAGGAGAAGATGATCTTACTTCATTCCTTGTAAACGCCTGTGGCGAAGTTAATTGGGCTTGTCACAGCATATATTTGAGCTACACCCGAAACAGTGAAGCGACTTCAGTATGCACAGTGTTTGTGACGGTAGCCAACGGAGGACATGAGGTTTGCGGGCACATTGACAAGAATAATCTGTGAAGTTCGCCACTCCCCACCCGATCCAACCACGAGTACCACGAAGGTAGTGGCGGTGGCGGTGAAGAATAGCCGGATTCAAATGTGCATGAAAGCCTTCCTCCGGGGAACGTCCAAGCGGTCTTCTCTCCCATAGTCCATGCAGCAGCGTGTGCGCACTCCGGGATAGTCTGTATGGAATGTGGTTCGAGGCGGTGGTCCAGTTTTTGTGTTGATACACAATGAGGCTGTATAGGGCTCGGCGACCGTAAAATGTGCTCTATGTGAAATGAATGTTTGGTACTGGGGTATTTGAGGCAACGATCAGTTTGACCCGTGAGCTTGGGTGAAACACAAGAGGTCGCATCTAACGTAGTTGATGAGGTCAATGGTTGTATGTGTAACGAAATTCCAGGTGTGGTAGTGGTTGGGGCCAGATCGGGGGAATTAACGACCAGAGCGCTCAGGGATCCGGAACAAAGTGAATATTTACCTGATCGTGTGAACCTCGTCTCATTCAGTAGATGTTCCGGGGTTACAAATCCCTTCAGACACGACAGAGTATCCTCCCCCAGCAGTTTCGACTGATGGGTACATGGTCCGTAGATGGATATTAGGGGTTCAGCGGTTGAAATGTGGTCACAATTCCTACTGAAATCAAGTGGCGCCAAAGTTAAGTCTTCCTGCTCACCTTCCAGTCCGTTCATCGGATCATGCGATTCCATCGCTGACGCACGCTTGTAACGTTTGCGTCGTCGCAGGAAGCTGCCGTTATCAAACATATCCACTGAATTGGGATCAAGCATCCAATAATTTCCTTTGCCCGGGTTTCCCGGTTCCCGTGGAATTTTCACAAAACAATCATTGAGAGACAGGTTATGTCTGATTGAGTTCTGCCATGCTGGAAAGCGTTCTCTATAGTATGGAAATTGTGTCATGATAAAATCACAGATTCCACCCAAGGTGAGCCGACGGTGAGGTGCGTGTAATATTGCCATGGTGATTAGTGCAATATAAGAATAGGGAGGTTTCACAGAGTGTGCGCGATACGAACGACTCAGCTTCCCCATAGAAGGACGACAAATAGACCCTCTGCGACCTCGCGGACGCTCTCCGGCTTGAGGTTTATCCCGGTCGAAATTCTCGCATTGTTCCAACTCACCGGGAAAATACCAATGTTTGGCCGGCGAAAAAGTTGTTACTGGATCCGTTTTGAAGTCCGCACCAAATTGCTTGGCACAATTGAGAGCCTGAGTTATCGGTGGGGCTACACCGGTTATATGTTGTACGAATTCTGCCGGGATACTGAGCAAAGGGTGGTAACTTAATCTCACTTCTGGTTCCGAGGAGGTTCTAGGGACTATCGCGGTCGACAGACTGTCCATCTTGTAATCCAAAGTAATGTGAGTCCATCATATTTGTAGTGGCATTTTCTTCACCGGCTATCAATAGTGGTGAGTGAAGATCCGGCGTCGCACGGAGACCGGAGCAGAGTTGTTGCCGCGTCCTCACCCCTATTACCGGATGGATTGCTGCACGAATGTTCGTGGGTGGGAGGTGGACAGGTAAGCACCGGCCAGCACGGTAGAAAGATTCGCTTATGCACGCACACAAATGCACACACAAACACGCGCGCGCGCAAGCGCGTGTAAGCTTGCATTCCAGCATACGCTCCTGTGCGCCCAAGTTTGTAATCAGTTGCATAGACCACAAGCGACGTCCTACCCCACCATCAGAACAGGTGTTGTGATTGGCCAACATCATACTGGCGAATAGAAATTGGATGCGACTAGGGTTTGGTAAAGTTGACTGCTTGGAAAATATTGCTTGGGGAAGAAATGCAATGAGCCGAGTTACCACCACATAATGACCCACTAGGCTTTCTCCTACTGGAAGTAACTATCGTAAGCTTACCGGCACCGTGACCAGCTAAACAATTTTCTGCCAGTATCCCATGTTATGCAGGTCCCTGTTATAAAAACCAACTTAACTAGCTTCTCCTTATTGTCCTTCACAGTGCGACAAAGTGATATCCTTCGCTGGTCTCATCCGACAATGTTTCACCAGTCATAAAACAGCCATTGTCCTGGTCATTTAAATGCCCACATTAATCCTCAGGGTTGCATGTGCGAAGCCAAGTTATCCTTCCCGCCTAGTTCTCGTCTGCACCATAAAGAGGCACTGGCATCAAGGACGTAGGTATGCGGGTAGAGGTTAACCGCCGAGGTATCACGATGTTTTGTATCTACTTCTGGGACGGTAAAGGCTAATCTGCTTCTGATCTGTGAGAAAGATATAATTATCAATGAACGGTAACTAGTACCAGTTGGTTACACTCGTCAGGTAGAGGTAACAACATTGCGACATAAACCCAGGACGTTGGGGTGTAGACGGAATTCTTTGACTGTAAGTAAGCGAGTAGTCGAGACGAAAACTTGTCTCAAGGGTTGAGGACTCGCTGGAGTAATACTTTGGAAAGACGTGTAAGGATTAGTCGCTTTAGATGTGGACGCAGATAGATCTGACTAGTGCTTCCTCCTCAGAGTGAGCCAAGCTAATGATTAAGATTGCGCCGGTAATCTATTCACGCAACAGGTATCTCAAAACGACCCCTCCGTTAAGAATAGTAAGAGTAATAATACGAATAGGTCCATTTCTTTCTATGTGAGCAGCTGCTTCCATAGTCAGCACGGATAATTTCTCTACGCGTTGTATTTTCTTCCTACTTACATGCTACCTGTTTGGGTGTGGTCAGTCTTGTTTGGTCATGCTCGTATCGCAACGTGGTGTACACGACATCACTTTACCGCAAGTTATATGTGTGTGAACATTACGCAAGTAATCCGTTGTCGCCTCCCACCAAGACCTTGGTATTCGCGCGTCATATACTAACTGATATCTCTGCTTGGGACATGGTGGAGTGCACTGGTACGATTCCAGGACACCGTAACCCTTCAGTGTCGCTTGTACATGGTGGTCATTTCTTCGACGTATCTGATCTCGTTTGAAAGAGTGCATCAGGTGAGTCCCCCATTAAGCAAGGCTGTAATCAAGCTAAGATGGAGGTAAATTTGGAGCTTAAGCCGAACGGCATGAACGGAATGACTTAGTATAGAAGAATTAGATCGCTTAGTTAGCCTACACTGTTACAACTGGAATGCAGTGACGTAGCAACTATTTTTACCACCCGGGGCGCTAGTAAAACTTTTGCCCCCACCCCTGGCGGTTTTATATCAGTAAACCCTTTAAATTGTGAACAGCCTTTCCGTTTAGTTCTCAACCAACTGGACACTCGTTTGTAACACTGAGGTATAACTGGTGAACGTGATCACAATGGGACAGGCAACGGGGATCGCTGGGAAGAACGTTTGTACAGGTGTGACACATGGTGCAATGGTATTGTTGGTCATACGTAGTAAAATATGCAACCCTCAGCTTAGCTAGAAATTTTTCCCTTTGTATTTGGTACAGAAAAGACGGTTGTATTAAAAAGGCCGTGCCCTGTAACATGTCGTCGAGCTCTGACCCCCCTCTTGCCACACCGCTGCCAAAGTAAGTTGAACTGCGCCGCAATTCTGGCATCTGTACATTGGAATAGGCTAGAACTCTTGTTCCCAACATTACAAAATAGGCTGTTGATGTGAACTCACAGATTATCAGCAAACTCGAGTCATCTAGTCACTCTGGTGGTGACGACCCCTAAGGAAAGACCATACATGCCCAGCGAGTGTACGTTATCGTTCTGTGAGGCGACAACTTGGCGGCCGTTTTTGTGAACTGTTCTGAACATGACACATTAATGTTAGTTGTACTTCTTCGCTACGTCGGCCACCCATGGCTTGGTGGCACAAGGTGCTGGCATCCGGAAGGCAGGGGATCGGAAGCCGGGAGAGGTCCACCGAACACACACTACTAACGAAACAGAATGTCGAAACATCTTCCCGGTGTTATTCCACAACTTAAGCTTACATCCGATGCTCTGTTCATGGCTTCTTGCTACCCAATGACGTGGCATTTACCACCCCGTTCAGCAATCAGCACATGCGCCCACCAGCAAGGATCTCATAATCGACGTGTCGATTGAAAGCAGGTCGTCGAATAATAGACACCAAGCATTCGTGTGGCTTGATCACTGGATTGCTTAGAGGAGGCACAGGGCAGATGTAGAATATTGGGCATAGAAACATTATATCCGTAGTAGTCAAGCCAACGGCATTCATACGGAAGTTTGTTGTACCTGTCAAATAAAGCTTCGGAGCGGAAATCCTGTCATCGCTACCCAAAACCGTCTTTCTTGTGATGCAAGATGCAAGAGGGATAGCATGGTGTTTTCACATGGCCTCTCCGAATCTTGAACGCAGTCGATGTAAGCGCCATGCACGAGATATCCTTGTGGACAGTATGACACCACTGTGAATTATTGGTTCGTTATTGCCTACCACATGTCGTACCCGAGAGGTATACGCAAACGGGGGGTGAAGCTGCTTATACTTTTCGGCGTCAGTATTTACTCACCTTACCGAAGGCATCTGGTTGGAGTGTCTTTATGACATTTCCATTTCCTTAGCAACGGCGATGTCTCAACCTACCTTCCTTACGGAGTCGGTGCTGAAAAGTGCTTAGGCTCAATAATCGCAGTGACCGAGATACAAGTATGATGATAATCACGTTATAGGTTGAAGTGTCATTTCAAGTAACCCACTAGAAAAAGTAAAATCCCAGTTGGTTAGTTGTACGATATCATTAGACGTAAGTCACTGTCTACCATGGGAGTAGGATTACTTTGGTACTCACGCTCGACTCCAGATCCGTCCGCTGGAGCTCCTCAGAATGGCCGGGTTAAGAGACACATTCGATAACTCCAAAACACATACTGTTAGCTGTGGCAATTTTCAACACCACAATAATTAATCTTCGGATTCTTGGTCGCAACCCCCCCACGCGTGCATCATCACCGCCGAATCTCTTGGCAGAGTCTTGTTCCTTGGTGGTAGTGGCATGCGTCTTTTGTGTTCTGCTAACCTTGTGCGCAGTTCTCGAGGGATTTAGCCCATGTACACTTGTACACAGTGCTTGCGGCGCATCTCGTAGGCACAATTGATCATCCTGTCTGCGGCTGGCGAGTGTGGTTGGTTTCAAGCACATTTCAAGATGCTGAAAACGTAGGCTCCAAATCATACTAATTGCGCTGGAATATTCTCAAGAAGCCACTGCAGGTGACAGCCATAGGAATACGCTGAAACGGACTCCAGATTCGCTCACTGTGGAGATGATGAATCATCGCCGCATGCATAAAAGCGATAATCGTACTAAATTTGCAAGTTAAGACCCAGTAAGGCTGTTTCGCACAGGGTTTCGTCGACTGTTGCACTTTAACTTTGAAAGAGGCATTAACAAACGAACCAAAGGCAATGTAATACTGAACGAGGAGAATAAAAGTTTCGAAATGATTTTGAGAACAATGCCATGTAGCTCCAAACATTAACGTAAGACGATTTGAACGAGTCCATGCATTGGTGTTCCCAAGATGTTCAGTTGAAAAGCAAAGGTCGGAGGAGAAAAAAGGGTTAGTTGCATAGGATTATAACGCAGTGAAATAGCAATGCAAGATTAGAATTTAATCCAGAGAGTGAACGCGAATCCAACAATTTGCTTAGAACATAGGAACTGGGATAACTGACATCTGCGTTAATGTGCAGATACTAAATGGAAAGGGCAAAACGATCAAAAAGCCGAGATTAGTGCCGGTGAGGGTAAGTGAATTCCCCATAACACAGTGTTCTAGCCCATGTGATTGGTTATCACCAGCCAATACCTGTTGGGTGGTGCATTTGACCTGAGTGTGGATAGAGGCACCACGAGTTTGACTGTATACACACATTAAAGCCTTGTTCTTTTATGCGTCACGTTCTTGCTTACAATAACATGTAAGTTCCTTGAGTACGTGTTTGGGTGTACTATTAGTAGTTTGCATTTCAATGGTTAGATGTTGACTGAGCTCCTCAGTGTGGCTGCCCCCGATGTGAATCTTGGTAAGGTGATAACCTGTCTAACACGCTCCTCCATGGTTACTGGGTCCAGGCGACTGTGACTCGTTCCTAGGGGGACGGGGGGGGGCAGAGTGCACGGTCCTACTGACGGTGCTAGTCTCAAGGAGTGATTCCATACATCCAATGTGGAACAAGCTACGGCCCATCCACCGTCTTAGGTGGGTCCAGTACGCATGATTTCCCACATAAATAGACAGGAATGTTGCTGTTGCGCATGCTGAAAGAGTGGGGGCCGATTTCGTTGATGAAACGTGGCCTCCATCCACAAGCCTCCCAGTCCTATTCTTCCGATTTCACACTGCTTATGGGATGTGTGGATGGAGCTCTGGGTGGTGTAGCGTAACCCACACTAGGTCCCTCTGTAGGCGCAGACGTCCTGTGGCTGTCCCCGTGGAGGCTACAGTGACAGGCACATCCGGAAGCGGATGCCACCAATTTGTATCAGT